CTACGAGCCCTCCCAGTTCTGATTGGTGCGCAGCCTGCGCCCGCTATCCAGGAACTTCCCCGACTCACATATGGCCTGTGCTGGTACTCCTCCATGATCTATCCCAGCCATCTCAGGGCTTGCCCAATTCACACGCAGTCAGCACTGGCCTTCTTCCAACTTGTGTGTGGCCTGCGCAGGCTCTCCCCACCTAGCACCAGCCCTGCTTCAGCTTCCTTCAACTCATGTGTGGCCTGTGCCAGCCTTCCCAAGGTCTCTTCCAGTCTCCCTCATACACATACCCAATAGATCCCAAGCTTCTTACCTGGAACTCTTCCCACTTAAGGACTACAACAGCAGCTAGGACTTCTGGGAATGTCACTGCTAAGCAAAGCAGTCACATGACATTGTGCTTTACAATTATATTGCTTAGTGATATCAATTCTAATCCCAATTGGCATCATAACTTGAAGACTATCTTTATATGTGCATCTACCGTATATGTATACAGCATTTGGTCCTTTTCCTCTGTGGCTTTGATGATTAATAGCATCCAGCATGTCTGTTCCACTTAATTTTGTGAACCTAGAATGAAAAATCAGGGATCAATGTATTTGTTTCTAGGTGTCATTATTCTCTATATCAAAACATGAAGAGCATTCTTAATTTTTATGCTATTATTTCATTCAAGAGATCTTGAGTTTTGCTTAGTTGAAAAACAGGGTACTTAGAACAATTCCAGTGGAGCTATTTGACCTTAAACTTGGAACATTTTCTTTTCAGATTTGGGCAGGAAAACTTCACTAAAATATGAAAACTTTGTATATAGACAATTCAAAAATATGTGACATTCTGTGAATTTTTGTGTCAATCATCGATATCTTTCTTATCTGTGCCTGCAATATTTACTATGTTGCCTAATATTTGTTCTGTGCCTCAAGGGAGCTATGGAGTTAATTAATGCCGCAAACTCCTATTATTCACCCATACAGCTGATGGCTGTCTCATAAATAGGCATGTTTCATCTTTCCCGGATTTCTTAACCATTTTCATTGCTTTTAAAGTTATGACAAAAGAAAAGGGAAAGGTACAAAACATAAACATAATTGTGATAGAAATTCATACATTGTCAAATAAAAAAGCATAAAAAGTGTTTTTAACAAAAGTGAAAAAACAGAAAAAGTGAAAAAAGAATCATTATCTCTTATAACAGGAAACAGTTACAATTCTGTATATAATCTAATGCAAATGGTATATATATACATACGTATTTATTTCTAATACACTTATAAACTATTATGTTTTTAAACTATTGTATTTTGTACTATATTTCATTATAGTTGTCCATAAAAGTCTATGTCTATAGGCAATCTGCTCTTAAGTGGCAAGGGAAGTCAGGTCTTCAATCCACTGAATGAATGAGGCCCACATTTAGCTTTCCAATGCTGCAATATCAGTCTTTTAAGCCATAATAAGGCACAGAGAAACCATTTACAATAGGGAAAAAATTATTTGATCCCCTGCTGATTTTGTACATTTGCCCACTGACAAAGAAATGATCAGTCTATAATTTTAATCGTAGGTTTAACAGTGAGAGACAGAATCACAAAAAAAAAACACATTTCAAAAAAGTTATAAATTGATTTGCATTTGAAATAAGTGAAATAAGTATTTGACCCCTTCGCAAAACATGATTAGTACTTGGTGGCAAAACCCTTGTTGGCAATCACAGAGGTCAGACGTTAGTTGTAGTTGGCCACCAAGTTTGCACACATCTCAGGAGGGATTTTGTCCCACTCCTCTTTGTAGATCCTCTCCAAGTCATGGTTTTAAGGCTGACATTTGGCAGCTCGAACCTTCAGCTCCCTCCACAGATTTTCTATGGAATTAAGATCTGGAGACTGGCTAGGCCTCTCCAAGACCTTAATGTACTTCTTCCTAGAGCCACTCCTTTGTTGCCTTAGCCATGTGTTTTGGGTCATTGCCATGATGGAATACCCATCCATGACCTATTTTCAATGCCCTGGCTGAGGAAATGAGCTTTTCACCCAAGATTTGACAATATATGGCCCTGTCCATCATCCCTTTGATACAGTGAAGTTGTCCTGTCCCCTTAGCAGAAAAACACCCCCAAAGTATGTTTCCACCTCCACATTTGATGGTGGGGATGTTCTTGGGGTCACAGGCAGCATTCCTCCTCCTGCAAACACACGGAGTTGAGTTGATGCCAAAGAGTTCAATTTTGGTCTCATCTGACTACAACACTTGCACCCAGTTGTCCTCTGAATCATTCAGATGTTCATTGGCAAACTTCGGATGGGCCTGTACATGTGCTTTCTTGAGCAGAGGGACTTTGCGGGTGCAGCAGGATTTCAGTCCTTAACGGCATAGTGTATTACCAATTGTTTTCTTGGTGACTATGGTCCCAGCTGCCTGGAGATCATTGATAAGATCCTCCTGTGTAATTCTGGGCTGATTCCTCATTGTTCTCATTATCATTGAAACTCAATGAGGTGAGCTCTTGCATGGAGCCCCAGACAGCGGGAGATAGACAGTTATTTTGTGTTTCTTCCATTTGCGAATAATCATACCAACTGTTGTCACCTTCTCACCAAGCTGCTTGGTGATAGTCTTGTAACCCATTCTAGCCTTGTGTAGGTCTACAATCTTGTCCCTGACATCCTTGAATAGCTCTTTGATCTTGGCCATGGTGGAGAGTTTGGAATATGATTGACTGATTGCTTCTGTGGACAGGTATCTTTTATACAGGTAACAAACTGAGATTAGGAGCACTCCCTTTAAGAGAGTGCTCCTAATCTCAGCTTGTTACCTATATAAAAGACACTTGGGAGCCAGAAGTCTTGCTGATTGATAGGGGATCAAATACTTATTTCACTCATTAAAATGCAAATCAATTTATAACTTTTTTGAAAAGTGTTTTTCTGGATTTTTTTGTTGTTATTCTGTCTCTCAATGTTAAAATAAACCTACCATTAAAATTATAGACCGATCATTTCTTTGTCAATAGGCAAACATATAAAATCAGCAGAGGATCAAATAATTTTTCCCCTCACTGTACATTGTCCAGTGTCAAATTTCATCTGCTAGTTATGTCATGCAAGAGAATGTTATCTTCTGAAAATGTTAGGTTTTATTGCACAATCATATTTACATCGTCCACTACTTTCTTCCAGAGCCTGGGAGTCAAATATGGATTTGTCAGTTATAAATTTACTTCAAAAAATGAAAAGCATTTCAAAATTAAGCTTTCTGGGAAGCAGAATTCTATACATGCTATCCTGTTCCCCATCCATCCACGACTGTACAGAATTGCAGAATATAAAGAGCAATCTAAAGTGAAAATCTTACCTTTTGAGGTTTTATCTTTGTTAGTACTATAATAGGCAGCATTAGATTATATAAATTCTGCATCAAGAAAACAGCAACCTATCTTCTACTTTTCTCAAATACAATATTTATTTCTATTATATAAGTACTTTCAAGTGTCTATTTTCCACCCTAAGGCAAACAAAATAGCTAAAAATAAATCCAAGACTGAACTTTGTTCTTTCGCAGTCTGCCTTTTTCTTATGTATTCATAGAATTGCAATCTACATATAATCCACAAGGTTAATGCCTTCATGTGGGATGGAAAATTGAAAAATTGCTGATTAATTTGTAATTCAGATGGTGTGATTTATATAAGCAAGCAAATGAACTGAATTCAAAATCATGATTTTGCTAACCATTAGCTAGCATGTAGAGTTAATACACTATGTTTGTGATAATGATAGCCTACTTTTCCTGTCAAATTTAATCTATTGAGGATGGCATGCTAAAAGTGGCCATATCAGAAGTAAGCAAACCATCACTTTCTTTTTCTCTTTTTCTTCACTTTTTTGCGTTCAGCAGAGATAGTTTAATATTTGCAAAAGAACGTATAAAGTAAAATGGATACAGATTGCTCCTTCTAATGTCATATTTGTAAATTATGTATTTCTATAATTGCCAATCATTCTTTATAAAATCTTTTTTTCTAACACCCCTAATGTTACATTGTAGGAATTCGCCCATACAAATGTGAGATCTGCAACAAAGCCTTTACTCAACGTTGTTCTCTGGAATCACATCTTAAAAAAATCCATGGGGTACAGCAACGCTATGCTTACAAGCAACGGAGAGATAAACTGTACGTCTGTGAAGATTGTGGTTACACAGGCCCAACCCAAGAGGACTTGTGTGTGCATATCAGTAATGTTCATCCTGGAAGTGCTTTTCTGAAAAAAAATTCAAAAAAAGCTCATAGCTGTTTTGCAAAACAAAGTGACAACTCCAACAGAGAGAATCCCTAGAAAAAATGAGGATCTATAATCGTGCGATTGATAATACTGGATAAATACATAGTTATCACAACATATTAAACCCAGGTTAACAACACATGATTTCTGCAACCAATATATGTTGTGTCCAAAGAAAGGAAGCTTATTATGCATGCTTGGCATTCATGTGATGGCATGGTCCATACAACAAAGAAGACAATTGGTTGGTTCCCTAATAAGCTGAATCATATTTAACCTATTCTAATATATTGCATGAACCCAACCTAAAAATTTAAATATTCATGGCAGAAATTAGCTTTGGAGTTATTCCTGTCCCACAGTTTTATAGTTTTACTTTATTGGAAATACGTAATTTCCCTATCAGAAAGAAACATATTTTCCCAAAGGAAATTCTCTAGAACTCAGTTATTTACATGAACCTATTTTCATTTAAGCTTTTTTGATATACAACAAATAATATATTATATAAATCCAGAAATAATAAAATAAAGAAATATAAAATGAATTGGATAATTATTTTCTTAAATTCTTAACTTTTTTTTTGTACTTCCCCTGACACAAAATTTTGGAACAGGCAATTGCAAAAACAATACCTTTTTTTGGTTGTCTTTTTTTCTTTCTCCTTACTGTCAAGATTCCGACTAGTGAACCCAATTAAGCAAACACCTTCAAGACTTTTCAGGCTCTTAATGCAAAACTTTATTGAGTACACCATATTGGCACAAATGAAAGTAAAACCAGCTCTGACAAGACCCCACCCAAATCACTATAGCAAAAGCATTGACTTCTTCCTTCTCCCTCTGGGTCAGATCATGTTGCCCAATCAAGTTGAAAAATATTGTTGTGAGAAAGCATCTCTGGACCTGGCCAGACACCTGGCAATTGTCATTGGTTCCCACTGTCTGCTTCCTTAATCTTTGAAGTCTGTATTCCAAACCTCTCTCCTCCCCCCGAGCTTGTTGGCAAATTGAGAAGCAATGTCCGTCGCATCAGCAAGACTGGGTTTCAAGGGTTAACACTTTGTAACCAACTTGCCTACTCATCTTATATAGTAGAAACCAAATTTTTATTTTGTTCTGAATGTCAGTAAACTTTATGATCAAACTATTTGGTTACTGAAGTCTATTTGCTTCAGACAGATCTGGAAGGAAAGATGCAGAAGCAAGAATCAAAAAAATGAAGGGAGAATAGTCAGTTTCCCTTTTAGCATGAAGAACATAAATGGTACCATTTTTTGAGCAGAGTACATAAAGAATTTGTCTCATAATACCTATCAGTGTGACAGGCAAGAACTTCTGCTTTCAATCAGCTAAAATGGGTATTGGATAGGAAAATCATTTCAAAAAATACTCTAAAAACATGGATTATTATTCCAGAGGCAAGAACAAAGGGTATTTGCAGGGGAGAATCAGCAAACAAGTGGATGGCAAAGTTTATTTTCCCTCCAGGAACATTTGTCTACCAGCTAGTTAAAATTCCTCCTTACCACCCCAGCCCCCCAAATACAAGGAAAGAAAAGCAATGGAATTAAATACAATTTACTACAAACTACTTGCTTTATACAGTATTATTCTTCCCTTTCTCTTTAAACTCTTCCAAGCGAAGCAGCCACTTGTTCCAGTACTGAGAGCACAGCTCAAAGTTCATAAAATGTGAATGTGCAGGAGAACCATCCTTATAGGCAACCACAAGTAATCCACAATTAACCTAGGAAACAAAACAATCAATTGCTCATCAAACCATATGCAATTTTAGTTAATGTTCATTATGGATATACAGCTGAAATGCTTACTAAATAGTAGGAATGGGTACAGATGAACAGCGTTTAGCTCAGCTCCAAAGTATTTTTTTTGTCCGGAGTCAACAAAATATAGATTATATAGATCTGAGATAAGATCATGGTTTACTGTAAAAATGCAATAATGTTTCCAATAATCAAGGCATTTTGTAGAATGTGTAAGAGTGTATAGGGTTTTTGTGCAAAATACCACTGTCTGCAGAATTCCCTTCATAGAAGCATGAGCCTTGTGTGCTATTTCCTACAATATCAAAAGCTATTACCAAGTACCTATTAAATTTAGTCAATCATCTACTTTGTCTGAAAGAACATAACCTGCTTTTAAAAAGTTTGATAATTGTGTTCAAAATTTTGTCCGCAAGTTTTCCAGAGTAGCTCAGTTGTTGACAATGTTGAGATCTGCAATATTTTTGGTCTAGAAAGCTGTATTTTTACATGATGAAAAAAATTTAATATTCTACTCCATAACTGTTCATAGATTGACTTTTATTATGACAATTCTGACAAGACACGTTTTCATAATGGATTAATATAAATGAAGATGCCACAGGCAAAGGTCAAAAGAGTGTTAAAGCTGCTTACTTGTTTCTATTTGAAGTTTTGTCTTCTTCGTGATATTGCTGCTTGGAGTGACAAGCGCAATTAACCTACTGTCAGAATCCAATTATATTTCATCTCTAGTTATCAATTATAGAAAACCCCATTTCTGCCTTCTCTGGATTCTGTCATACAAGGAAGGGAAGGGGGTGAACAAAGGGGCTTTATGGCCCTCACTTCCTTCGGTACAACTTCACAAGGGATTGAATGTGGATAGCACCAAAAAGGCCTAATCATAACAAAGGAGGCTATTACCTTTCATGTAGTTTTCTCCGAAGTCTCCATCCAGCCGGCAGTAAGGAAAAGGGGTGGGAATGTAACGCCTGAGACTGTTGCTGGAAGTAGGGGGGGGGGATTGGGTGGGGCTACTGGGAAACTCCTTAAAACCTTGAATGGGAGAGCTTGGACCCCAAGTCCTGTCTAGAACGCCTGCAACCATTTTCTCTTAATAAAGGATTCCTGTTGGAAGAATTATTCCAAGAGTTCTGTCTTCTTAAGATGCAAAGTGGGGTGGGTCCTTACACCTACATTACATATAGACCAATGGTTCTCAACCTTTTTAATGCCGCGACCCCCCAACCGGTCGTAAGTCGAGGACTACTCAACCGGTCGTAAGTCGAGGACTACTCAACTGGTGCAGCACCATTTGCAGAATGGGACTTTTGGCAGGCTCAGCAGGGCAGAGACAGCCTGGACAATTCCTATTGGCTTTTGAAAGCCAATAGAATTAGACTCTATTCAAGAGAGTCTATTCTATTGGCTTTCAAAAGCCAATAGAATAAAAGGGAGTAGCACAGCTAAGGAAAAGGGGGAAAAAATGGCGGACTGCTTTGTTTGGCGACCCCCGTGAAATGGTCATTCGACCCCAAATGGGGTCCCAACCCACAGGTTGAGAACCACTGATATAGACAGTGGCTACTATTTAGTAAGACTGGAATATTGGAACTGGAATATTATGCAGAGAAATAAATTCAGTTGCTGTTAAATGTGTGAGCAAGAAATCAGCAAGTGCTGAACTGAGATGTTTCTTTATAACTGTTACTTACCTGGAAGTCATAGTTGCTATCATGGTTAATTGCTCCTATGTATGCTGCAATTTGTAGTGGATTATTGTATGTATTCTGAAGAAATGGCTTTGGTTTCTCTGAAGTCTTCCAGTCAATTACACATAATGTTCCACTGTGAGATCAGATGTAGAAGATACAATGGTAATAATCAGTAATAAAAAGTTCATTTTCCAACCAACATGCACATTTGTGAACAAATGTCATGTGCCTAACTTGAGCCTATCTTCAGAGTATTAGCAATACTTCCCCCCAAAAAACCTCTTGTGTTGTCTGCACATTTTATCCGCATAACTTCTATTCCATTATATAAGACATTTATGAAGATGCCACAGTAAAGTCCAAATAGATGTTAACTCTGAGAGGTAGTCCAGGCAAGAAGTACAACCAGAAGTACTAGCTCTATCTTTATTAATAGAATATTGGAAGACTGAAAGTATTTCTCCACTTCAATTTTTTACTTACAAATGGAAACAATGATACATAATTCTTAGTTTACAATGATAAGAAAAGAACAAATTTTAAAACACGCTTTATCGACTTCCGGTGGTTAAGGCGGTGGAGATGGCGGCTACTTTGTAGCCGTCCTCCTGAGATGGTGTTAGATCCGCGGAGCACAGCGTTCATCAGCTGGCCCGCGGCTCACAATCCTCTTCCCGGGCGAAGGGAAGGGGTAGAGATCGCATGAATAGAGGTAGAACCTCTTAACCTTCCCTGGATTTTTATTTTAGGGGGGTAGAAAGAGTGCTCCCTCGGAGTTCATTGCCTTCTCCGCCTCTCAGCTGTCTTTGTTTCTTCGGAAACAAAGCGAAACGCCGCTACCATCTCCGTATTTAAAGTAACCGTGAGTAATTTTAAACCGGACAGAACTGTTTAAAGGACTTTATTTATAGTTTAGCTTTATTTTATTTTTTTTTAGTTTACTTAGTTTATTTAGTATGTGCTGATTTTTTTTTATTTTTTGAGTTTTCTTTTTTTTTTCTCGTGGGCGGAAAAGTGAGAGTGAAAGTAAAATGGCGTTTTGAAAGTTTTCCTTTTGAAAGACAGACTGGCTGAATTATTGCTTAATACTGTTTTCTTTTTTAAGTTTTTTTTTATCTTTTGGGAGTTTTCTAAATTGATTCTATTTTATTCTATTTTATTTTATTTTTAATCTTTTGGATTTTTTATTTTTTTACTGCTATTTTTATGAAGAAAGGAAGATAAATTAAAATGGCTTCAAAACGACAACCAGCCACTACAGCTCCTAAGGTAATCTCTTCTCCTGTTACTTCTACTGGGCAACAACAACTTAAAATAATACCCTCAGTGCAGCAACCTAAAACTACTCCACCTTCACCTCCCCCATCTGGTACATCAGCACAAGACATTAAAGAAATAATGGTAAATGCTGTGTCACAGTTTAGGGAGGAAATGAAGCAATTGTTGGAACAGAATAAATCTGAAAGTAAGGAAGAAATGAAGCAAGAGATGAAGGAACTTTTAGAACAGAATAATACTATTTTGAGGGATGATATACTTTTAGCTTTATCTGGAGTGGCCTCAGTGGTCGTGAAGCTGGACTCTAGAGTGGAGGAAATTGAAGAAACAGTAGAACTTTTGGATTATAAATTCCAAGATATGGAGAAAAAAGTGGAAGCTTCACAAGATGATATTCTTATGTTCCAGTATAGACAGATGGAATATGCTTTGAGAATAAGAGGCCTGAAAGAAGATAAAACCCAAGACTTGATGGAAATGGTGATTAATGACTTGGCTGTTATTTTGAACATAGATAAAGATGAGTTACGTGGGGAAGTGGAAAGAATTTATAGAGTTAATTCTTGGATTGCAAAACAGAAGAATCTGCCTAGAGATGTGGTGATATATTTTGCTAAGAAGTCTTTGCGAAACCAGATTTTGCAAATTTTCTACAACAAAAGATTTCAGATTGCTGCCCAAGATATTATTATATTAAAGGAAATTCCACCTAAAATTTTAAGAAGCAGAAAAGATTTTGCTTTTTTAGCAAATGAACTTAAAGCAAGACTGATGCCATTTAAATGGGAGATTCCGATAGGTATTGTCCTGAGCCATGCGGGGACACGTTACAGACTTAATACAGTTGCTAAAGCTAAGGATTTTTACAAAACGGTCCTGGGTGCAGGCTCACCTCTGCCCATGATGCACAAAGTCTTGAGTGATAAAGAGATGGAACAGAAACCTGAAGGTACAGGTGTGATGACTGCTGGACAGGTGGTATGGATGTCCCAAGCAGAGGTTAAAGAACAGAGAATGACCCGTGCAGCACATAAACGCAAAGAAAAAGAACAACAGAAAAAAGAAAAAGAAATTAAAGAATCTACTCAGCAAATTGTCTCAATGCCGGTGGGAGGAGCAAGACCCAAAAGCTCTGCAACATACTCTTCAGTAGCAGAATTTGAGGGGATCTTCTCCAGGCTCAAGGCCAAGGGAGATGGCAAAGCTCCTGACCTGGAATGTTAATGGATTAAATATTCCTCAAAAGAGAAAAAAAATCTACCATTATTTAAAGCAACACAACAATGATATTATCTGTTTGCAAGAAACTCATATTACATCTAAAGACCAAAAATACTTAAACAATCCTCGTTTGGGATCTCATTTTGTATCTCCCGCCCCTGGGAAAAAAGGGGGTGTGGTAATCTATGTTAAGAAGAATTTATCTGCTATCCTGTTAGAATCAGATCTTCATGGAAGATATGTTATGCTTGAACTTGGTTTATATGGCAAGAAAATTCTTATCGTGGGGCTGTATGCACCAAACCAGCAACAGGAGCAATTCTACAGGTTGCTACATCAGAAAATAACCTTGTTGGACTATAGATCTGTGATTTTGATGGGAGACTGGAATGGTGTCTTAGATATACAAAAGGATAAAAAAGGCTCTTCTACTTTTTTTAAACAGGCTAAACTACCTAAAGCCTTCTTTGACATGAAAGAAGATTGGGAATTGAGAGACTATTGGCGTGAACGTAACCAGGAAGAAAGGGACTTTACCTTCTTCTCAGATAGACACCAATCTTTCTCAAGAATTGATTTTTTTTTTATTACAACAGATTTATACAACAGGGTGAAGAATGTAAAAATTTTTCCTAGGACATTGTCTGATCATAGTCCAGTTTGGATGGAACTGTTTGCTGAGAAAGAAGACAGGAGATCCTGGAGGGTGAATGAGAATTTATTTAAACAAGAAAAAAATGTCCACAAACTAAAGGAATGTTTAAAGGAATATTTTGCTTTAAATATGAATAAGGGAACATCAATGTCAATGGTGTGGGATGCAAGTAAAGCTTTTATGCGTGGTATTTTGATAAAAATGAATAACTTGCATAGACAGAAACAGATTCAGAAACGTAAAGATTTAGAAGAGGAGATTAAATTAAAAGAGAAACTCCTAATTTCAAACCCTTTAGATGAAAAGGTGAAAGGAGCTATAAAACTGTTAAAAACACAATTTAACATGTTGATGGCTGATCAAGCTGCAACCAATTTACTATTTATGAAACAAAATACATTTTGTAATGCTAATAAACCAGGGAGATGGTTGGCTTATCAGTTAAGAAAGAAACAGAAACAGAGGAATATAGATAAAATAAATTATAATGGTAAATTGGTTTATCAGAAAGAATTGATTAAGAAATCTTTTTTAGAATACTACCAAAAATTATACAAGAGTACTAATATTCAAACTACAGATATAAACAATTATTTAGGTAAAGTTAATTTTCCTAAATTAACAGAAGATCAGGAAAAAGAGATTAATGGTTTAATTACTAAGGAAGAAATTGTTACAGCTATTAAACAATTGAAATTGGGCAAAGCGCCGGGTACGGATGGGTTGACATCTATTTATTATAAAACTCTAGTAGAAGAGATGACTCAACCGTTGTGTGAATTGTTTAATAACTTATTACAGGGGTTAGAGATCCCTCCATCTTGGCGTAATGCATTTATATCACTGATTCCAAAAGACAATCAAGATCTTACATTGCCTAAAAATTATAGGCCTATATCTCTTTTAAATGTGGATTATAAAATTTTTGCAAAAATTTTAGCTAATAGGTTTATGGGGATTTTGCAGCAGATTATACATAAGGATCAATCGGGTTTTATAACTGGAAGGTATATGAAAAATAATGTTAGACAAATTATTAACTTATTAGAGTATTTAGAAAAGAATAACCAAGTCTCTGCAGGCTTGATATTTTTGGATGCTGAAAAAGCCTTTGACCAAGTGAACTGGCAGTTTATGTTATGTTTAATTAAGGAGATGAATTTTGGACAAAATATATTACAAGTACTATCTAATATATATCAAAAACAGACTGCTCAACTTATTGTAAATGGGGGTTTGTCAGAGGCTTTTGTAATAGAAAAAGGTACAAGACAGGGATGCCCGTTATCCCCGTTATTGTTTGTTTTAACATTGGAAATATTGTTGATTAAAATTCGGGAGTCTCAAGAAATAAAAGGAATAGAAATTAATAAAAAAGAATATAAATTAAGAGCCTTTGCAGATGACTTGGTTGTTACTTTGTCTCAACCTATTTGTTCGGTGGTAAAATTATTACAATTGATCCAACAATATGGACGTGTTTCTGGTTTTAAAATTAATAATAATAAGACCAAAATATTAGCTAAAAATATGACTAATGGTGATAAACAGGTTTTAGTTAAGTTAACAGACTTTGAAATTGTTGATAAGGTAAAATATTTGGGGGTTACATTATCTGCTTCCAATGCAAAACTGTATAAAAATAATTATGAAAAGTTGTGGACGGAGATACAGAAGGATTTAAAAAATTGGAACAATTTACAGTTATCCCTTATGGGTAGAATTGCAGTTATTAAAATGAATGTCCTGCCAAAGTTTATTTTTTTGTTTCAAATGTTACCTATTTTAAAGAATGAACGTAATTTAGATGAATGGCAAAAAGGTATTAATAAATTTGTTTGGGCAGGGAAAAAACCAAGGGTGAAACTTAAAATAATGCAAGATTTTCGTGAGAGAGGTGGACTCAAGGTACCAAATATGAAATTGTATTATGATGCTGTAGTATTAACATTGATCAGCGATTGGGTGAATTTAACAAATATAGAAATACTTCATTTGGAAGGTTGGGATTTACTTTTTGGATGGCATGCCTATTTAATATTTAATAAAAAAGTGGATTGGGTTTTTAAGTCTCATATTATAAGAATCTCTTTGCTTAGAGTGTGGAGGAAGTATTATAAATTTGATTTTAAAATACCATTATGGGCTATACCTCGGCATGCCATAGAAGGTATAAGGAAAGGGGTTAATATGGATATGGTTTCTTATGCACAGTTACTTAGATGGGATGGCCAAGACTGGCAGTTAAAATCTTTGGAAGAACTAATACATGAAAATCTAACTTATTCATGGTTCCAATATAGACAAATAGTGGACAGATGGAAGATGGATTGTAAAATGGGCTGGCTTAGAGAAGATGAAACTCTCCTAAAACAAGTAAGAGATCAAAGGCCAACCCATATTAAGAGAGTTTATGGGGTTTTAGTGGAATTGGATTCAGAATCTGAATTAGTTAAAGATTGTATGATTAAATGGGCACAGAATATTGGTGAATCGATTTCAATGGATATTTGGGAACTTATTTGGACAAGAAATGTTAAATTCACACAAGCGCAAAATTTAAGAGAAAATTTTTATAAGATGTTTTATAGATGGCACCTTGATCCAAAGAAAATGTCCATTATGTACTCTAATTTACAGCCGAAATGCTGGAGATGTGGACACTTGGATGCTACTTATTATCATATTTGGTGGACGTGTAAGCATATAAAAGCTTTTTGGATTAAGATATGGTGGAATATTCAGAGAATTTTTAGAAGGAGGGTAAAATTTACTCCGCAATTATTTTTATTAGGTATTGTTACTGATTGTGATGCTAGGGAGGTTATGTTGTTGTTGTTAATTGCGAAGTCGTGTCCGACCCATCGCGACCCCATGGACAACATTCCTCCAGGTCTTCCTGTCCTCTACCATCTTCTGGAGTCCATTTAAATTCACACCTACTGCTTCAGTGACTCCATCCAGCCATCTCATTCTCTGTCGTCCCCTTCTTCTATTGCCCTCAATCTTTCCCAGCATTAGGCTCTTCTCCAGTGAATCCTTCCTTCTCATTAGGTGGCCAAAGTACTTGAGTTTCAACTTCAGGATCTGGCCTTCTAAAGAGCAGTCGGGGTTGATCTCTTCTAGGACTGACCGGTTTGAACGCCTTGCAGTCCAAGGGACTCGCAGGAGTCTTCTCCAGCACCACAGTTCAAAGGCCTCAATTCTTTTGCGCTCAGCCTTTCTTATGGTCCAACTTTCACAGCCATACATTGCAACTGGGAAAATCATGGCCTGGACTATGCGCACTTTTGTTGGCAGGGTGATGTCTCTGCTTTTTAGAATGCTGTCTAGATTTGCCATAGCTTTCCTCCCCAGGAGCAAGCGTCTTTTAATTTCTTGGCTGCAGTCCCCATCTGAGGTGATCTTGGAGCCCAGAAAAATAAAATCTGTCACTACCTCCATTTCTTCCCCATCTATTTGCCAGGAATTGAGAGGGCCGGATGCCATGATTTTGGTTTTCTTAATGTTGAGTTTCAAGCCAACTTTTGCACTCTCCTTCTTCACCCGCATCAAGAGGCTCTTTAGTTCCTCTTCACTTTCTGCCATTAGAGTGGTATCATCTGCATATCTTAGGTTGTTGATATTTCTCCCGGCAATCTTAATTCCAACTTTTGATTCATCTAGCCCTGCCTTTCTCATGATGTGCTCTGCATATAAGTTAAATAGGCAGGGCGACAGTATACAGCCTTGCCGGACTCCTTTTCCAATTTTGAACCAATCAGTGGTTCCGTGTTCGGTTCTCACTGTTGCTTCTTGACCCGCATATAGGTTTCTCAAGAGACAAATGAGATGGTCTGGTACTCCCATCTCTTTAAGAACTTGCCACAATTTGTTGTGATCCACACAATCAAAGGCTTTTGCATAGTCAATGAAGCAGAAGTAGATGTTTTTCTGGAACTCCCTAGCTTTCTCCATGATCCAGCGTATGTTGGCAATTTGATCTCTAGTTCCTCTGCCTCTTCGAAATCCTGCCTGTACTTCTGGTAGTTCTCGATCCACATACTGCTGGAGTCTAGCTTGTAGGATTTTAAGCATAACTTTACTAGCATGTGAAATGAGTGCAATGGTGCGATAGTTTGAACATTCTTTGGCATTGCCTTTCTTTGGAATTGGAATGTAAACTGACCTTTTCCAATCCTGTGGCCACTGTTGAGTTTTCCAAATTTGCTGGCAAATTGAGTGTAGCACTTTTACTGCATCGTCTTTTAAGATTTTGAATAGCTCAGCTGGAATACTGTCACCTCCACTAGCTTTGTTGTTGCTCAGATTTTCTAAGGCCCATTTCACTTCACATTCTAGGATGTCTGGTTCGAGGTCAGTGACCATCTCATTGTGGTTATCTGGGATGTTAAGCTCATTCTTGTATAGTTCTTCTGTGTAGTTTTGCCATCTCTTCTTAATCTCTTCTGCCTCTGTTAGGTCTCTGCCATTTTGGTCCTTTATCATGCCCATCTTTGCATGAAACGTTCCCTTCATATCTCCAATTTTCTTGAAGAGATCTCTGGTCCTCCCTATTCTGTTGTTTTCTTCTATTTCTTTGCACTGTTCATTTAAGAAGGCATTCTTATCTCTTCTAGCTACTCTCTGGAATTCTGCATTCAATTGGGTGTATCTTTCTCTTTCTCCTTTGCCTTTCGCTTCCCTTCTTTCCTCAGCTATTTGCAAAGCTTCCTCAGACAGCCATTTTGCTTTCTTGCATTTCTTTTTCTTTGGGATGGTTTTAGTTGCTACCTCTTGTACAATGTTGCGAACTTCCATCCATAGTTCTTCAGGCACTCTGTCTATCAGATCCAGTTCCTTAAATCTATTTGTCACCTCTACTGTATATTCATCAGGAATATGATTTAGTTCATACCTGAGTGGCCTAGTGCTTTTCCCTACTTTTTTCAATTTAAGCCTAAATTTTGCAACGAGAAGCTCATGATCTGAGCCACAGTCAGCTCCTGGTCTTGTTTTTACTGACTGTATAGAGCTTCTCCATCTTTGGCTGCAGAGCACATAGTCAATCTGATTTCTATGTTGACCGTCTGGTGATGTCCATGTGTAGAGCCGTCTCTTGGGTTGTTGGAAAAGAGTGTTTGTTATGACCATCGTATTCTCTTGACAAAATTCTATTAGCCTGTGCCCTGCTTCATTTTGTACTCCAAGGCCAAACTTGCCTGTTATTCCGGTTATCTTTTGGCTTCCTACCTTAGCATTCCAATCCCCCATGATGATAAGGACATCATTTTTTGGTGTTAATTCTATAAGGTGCTGTAGGGCTTCATAGAACCGGTCAATTTCATCCTCTTCAGCACCAGTGGTTGGGGCATAGATTTGGACTACTGTGATATTGAATGGTTTGCCTTGGATTCGAATTGAGATCATTCTGTCATTTTGGGGATTGTATCCCAGTATTGCTTTTCCTATTCTTTTATTGACTATGAAGGCTACTCCATTTCTTCTGAGGGATTCTTGCCCACAGTAGTATACCTGATGGTCATCTGAGTTAAATTCACCCATTCCTGTCCATTTTAGTTCGCTGATTCCTAAGATGTCGATGTTCATTCTTGTCATCTCTTTTTTGACTACGTCTAGCTTGCCTTGATTCATGGATCTTACATTCCAGGTTCCTATGGAGAAAAAATCTTTACAGCATCGGACTTTCCTTTCACCACCAGATATATCCACAGCTGAGCGTCCTTTCGGCTTTGGCCCAGTCGCTTCATTCTTTCTGGCGCTACTAGTACTAGCCCTCTGCTCTTCCCCAGTAGCATATTGGACACCTTCCGACCTGAGGGGCTCATCTTCCAGCGTCATATCTTTTTCCTTTTAGTACTGTCCATGGGGTTTTCATGGCAAAGATACTGGAGTGGTTTGCCATTTCCTTCTCCAGTGGATCACATTTTGTCAGAACTCTCTGCTATAACCTGTCCGTCTTGGGTGGCCCTGCACGGCATAGCTTATAGCTTCATTGAGTTACGCAAGCCCCTTCGCCACGACAAGGCAGTAATCCATAAAGGGAGGTTATATTGATGCTAAATTTGATTACAGCCACTAGGCTGTTAATAGGACAATATTGGAAGAAGGAATCCTTGCCTATTTTACAAGAGTGGTTTTATAAAGTTTCGTATTTGGCAGAAATGGCAAAGATTTCGGCTTTTTTAAAGGAGCAATCTCAAGAGAAATTTTTTGCGGTATGGGAAAAATGGATAAATTTTATACAACATAATTTAGATATGGAAAAATATTATTTAGCCTTTTTATAACTTGTAATGATTGTTTTTTTTTTTCTTTCTTTCTTTCTTCTTCTGTATTATTATTTATATACTTTTCTATATATGTTTTATTTTTCGCCTACCTCTTTCTTTTTTCTTTCTCTCTCTCTTTTCTTTTTCCCTTTTTTCTTCTTCCTTTTTTTTTAACGTATATTATTATTATATATATTATTATTATGATTTTTATTATTATTATTAATTATCTTATAAATTGTATACGTTATTTTTTAAAATTTGTTAAATAATCCTATACTCAGTTCTGGGAAGTCGGGGGGGGGAGGGTGGGGTGGTTTGGGAGGGGGGGGTGGATGTTTATTTGTAAAATTTTTGAAAAAAATTCAATTAAAAAAAAAAAAAACACGCTTTATCTTACTTTTGAGTGTAAGGGAAATATAAACCCCACAATTGATTTTAGAAATATTTGGTATGAAGCAGATGAAGTTAAGCATAAAAGTCATTGTTTCGAATGGGAAAGTGAAACATGACCTGAATACTTTTTTAGCCCCCAAAAATGTTTAACAAGATCACAAACAATATTATCTAAATTTAACCTCTCACCAATAGTCTGCTATGCAATCCACTAGGCCTTGGTAATAAAGGGCCTCATGCTGTACTGCACTTTCAAGAGCTCTCACTCCAGTGATATTTTGCAGCACATGCTTTACACTCATTATATAGTTTGAAATGCTGGTATCTTCTTTCTGTTCCTTTATAAAATTTCCTTTAGTTAACAGTAAAGCTTCCATGGCTGCATGAAAGTTCTTGCCTTTTTGAAAAGTACCTACAAAACAAGGGGGAAAAAAAGATATATAAAGTTGTTACTCTGGTACAATTAGAGGCCATTTTGCACAAGGATTAAGAACAAATCTTTCAGATTGAATCTGATGATTTATACTTTTATAGAGTGATAATACAAATTCAGCATTACACTTTGTAAAGATCCTTACATATGATGATTTTATAGGACATAGCAGCCCAACTGCCCTTTTTAAAGTGACATTTGACATCTTGAACCTTCAGCTCTCTCCACAGATTTTCTATGGGATTGAGGACTGGCTAGGCCACTCCAGGACCTTAATGTGCTTCTTCTTGAGCCACTCCTTTGTTGCCTTGGCCATGTGTTTTGAGTCATTGCCATGTTGGAATACCCATCCATGACCCATTTTCAATGCCCTGGCTGAGGGAAGGAGGTTCTCATCCAAGATTTGACGGTTTATGGCCCCTCCATTGTCCCTTTTTTTAATTATTAAAAGTTTTACAAATTTATTACAATATAACCCCCCCACCCCTTCCCCCCTCCCCCACTTCCCAGAGCTGATTACAGGGTAACAAATAAACAAACATAATCTAACTAACATAAACCAACTATACTATCAATCAAAACCATAACACACTTTAACTCCTTCTCAAAACAAATATTAACCAATTAAAACAAAAATAATAATATAATTAAAACTATTAATAATTATCTAAAATCTACTCAAAAGCAAGGTAATACTTTTCAGTTTCATATTTCTTTTGAATATAATCAATCCATCTTCTCCAAACCATAATGTATCTTTCTTTCAAGTAGGTGGAGATTTTCGCCATTTCTGCTAAATTAGACACCTTAAGTATCCATTCTTCCAAAATAGGCAGTGAGTTTTTCTTCCAATATTGCCCCACCAATAATCTTGCAGCTGTTATAAGATTCAACATCAAATTGATTTCTTTAACATCAAAATCTACAATAATACCCAACAAAAATAATTGCGGAGTAAACTTTTAGCTTTCTCTTAAAAATCTTTTGAATATTCCACCAAATCTTAATCCCAAAAGCTTTAATATCTCTACAGGTCCACCAGATATGAAAATAAGTTGCATCTAAATTTCACATCTCCAACATTTGGGCTGTAAATTCGGATACATGTGAGACAACTTTTGGGGATCCAAATGCCATCTATAAAACATTTTATAAAAAATTTCTCTTAAATTTTGTGCTTGAGTAAATTTTACATTTCTAACCCAAATTGTCTCCCATGTATCCAATAAAATCGGATCTTGAATATTTTGAGCCCATTTGACCATACAATCTTTAACTAACTCCGTTTCAGAGTCCAATTCTATTAAGGCATCGTCCCTTTGATCCAGTGAAGTTGTCCTGTCTCCTTAGGAGAAAAACACCCCCAAAACATAATGTTTCCACCTCCATGTTTGACGGAGGGGAAGGTGTTTTTGGGGTGACAAGCAGCATTCCTCCTCCTCCAAACACACCGAGTTGAGTTGATGCCAAAGAGCTCAATTTTGGTCTCAACTGACCACAACACTTTCACCCAGTTCTCTGAATCATTCAGATGTTCACTGGCAAACTTCAGATGAACTTGTACATGTGCTTTCTTGAGCAGGAGGGGCTCAAATTTAGCCTGGTATGATCTAAGACAGTGATGGTGAACCTTTTAGTGTGTGGCCAGTTGGGTGGGCATGGCTGTGGTGGTAACGGCAAACTGGGTGGGACTAAAAAGTTCAATCAATCAATTTCAACTTTGCAAGATCTTTTTTTCCCCGCAAGAAGTTGAAATTGACTGATTGAACCTTTTTTTTTGTACATGGCGGAGGAGGCCTAAAGCGAAAAGGTTTTATAAAACCCAGCTGAAGGCCTAGGACTGGGGCGATGGCACGCATACTCACAGAGAGGGCTCTGAGTGCCGCCTCTGGCACCAATGCCATAGGTTCGCTACCACTGCTCTAAGACTTTAAATTCTTGGTGGTCAGTGATAAGCACAAATTTTAATTGACTATACATGATTAAGTTACCTTCTACATTTGATCTCACAATGGAACATTATGTGTAATTGACTGGAAGGCTTCAGAGAAATCAAAGCTGTTTCTTCAGAATACATATGATAATCCACTACAAACTGCAGCATACATAAGAGCAATTAACCATGATAGCAACTATGACTTCCAGATGGGCTATTTAAACAGAACCTAAGACAGATTGCGAGTGTGTATGAACTGTAGTTGTGTATTCATAAACTAGACAAAGGATTGCATTAGATGAATTCTAACACTCTTCCAGCCCTCTTACTGATAATGGAAGAAAAGGGTTACAGACATTTTCACTGTTTATTTGGCCTCTATGGCTCTGGGCACTCAGAAACAGAGCATGTGCTTCTCCAGTTCCTGTATTACAGAGACATTTGTACTAGTTTCATCTGACCATTACTGAGGGTGCATAGAATAATTCTACATCTCCCCATGTAAGGACCTGCCGCCCCCCAGCTGGTCCTTCAGGAAAGCAAAATTCTTGACTCTATTACGGTAAATCAAAAGAACTTTTACCGATAGTGAATGGAAAAGTCAGATGGAATTTGAAGGTCCTGCTCAAAGTGCAAAGCAATTATTTCATTTCCCCCAAGCCCAACCCTCCTGACCAGTACACCGGCAGCCAATATGATGCTGTAGAGATGCTATGAGAACACTGAGGTGCTGGGTGGATAACAGGTCACTGTCAGGGCACAATGACCTTAGAACCAGGCTGGAACTGGCTGGGAAGGAACTGGCTGGGAAGGAATCTTTATAACTGTCACTTACCCTCGCTAATTCCCAAGCAGTTACAACAAAAGTGAAAGCATGCAAGGAATATCAGAAGCCTTCCTCCCCCCCACCCTCCAACAGAATGGCAGAACACCTGTATGGTGGATCTGCCATGCTGCCTCCCAAAAGAATGATGTTATTCCTGCAGAAAAAACATAATAAATAGGAAGACAGGAAACAAGGGATCATTAGACACAATCATTTATCAAGGTATTGCTTATGAAAATGTTTTATAAGTCTGGGAGCCCTCACGTGACATTGATACACCCACTCATTTTTGGCTTTGGGGAAATCCTTCCATGTGACTAAGTACTGGAGTTCCCCCCCCCATGCCTGTGGGAATCCAAAATCTCAAGAATTTCAAAATGTTGCTCCCCATCAACCATTAATGGTGCAGGAGGTAGTGGAAGGCTGGACCTAATAGAAGAAACCTCAGGCTTTAACAAATTACAATGGAACACAGGGTGGACCCTAGGTAGGGATTTTGGCAATTCTAACTCAACAGTCACAGGATTGATGATACACTTAATGTGAAAAGTCCCCATGAACTTAGGTCCCAGCTTCTTCAATAGCTGCAGGGACTGCAGGTAACACGTGGAGAGGTAGACATGATCACCAATTTTGAATGGTCTGGGTTCTGAGAGCTTATTGTCAACTTGAGTCTTATAAGTTTTTTGGGCATCCGCCAGGGCTTTTCTCATGACAGGCCATGTATTCCATTAATTGGGAAATCCAGTCTTTTAATGAAGCCACCAGAGGGGTATTCAGGGGCAGTTCAGGTATAGGAGTAAAGTCTTGACTTGTGGCCAATTGGAAAGTAATGAATCCAGTGCTACTATGCACAGAATTGTTGTAAGCTACTTCTGCAAAAGGCAATTGGTCAGTCCAATCATCTTGTTGATAATTAATAAAGCATCTGATATATTGTTCCAGTATTGAGTTTGCAAGTTCACATCCCCCATTAGTTTGGGGTATTGACTGGAACTGAGTCCCTAATCAGTCCCAAGTAAGTTTAAGAATGCCCGCCAAAATTTTGCACCCCTCTGTCTGAAATGATGTGCTAAGGTGCCCCATGTAATCAATAAATATGATGCAAAAATAATTTGGCTAGCCTCCATGTTGATGGGATCTTTGGACATGGGACAAAGTGTATTTGTTTAGAAAATAAATGTTACGACCCATATAACAAATTTTCCTGAGCTCTCCGGGAGCTCAACAATGAAATCCATAGAGATCTCTCTCCAGGGTGCTGAAAGCTCAGCTACAGTTTGAAGAAGCCCTGGGATTTTCCCTTGTCTTCATTTAGTGCAGAACACAAAAGACAGCTTGCCACATAGCTTTTAATGTTCTTGAGAGATGGCCACCAAAATTCTATTTTTATCAAATGTAAAGTCTTTACAAAACCAAAGTGTGCTGCCACTTTGAAATCATGATGTTTTCCTAAGACCTTTTAGTCTTTGAGTTTCTGGTACATAAAGCTTACCCCCTACCCAAGCCAGTCCATCCTGGATCAAGCAAACGTTGGCATGACTTTGAAACCATGGGACCTTTTTCAATGTGGCCTTAAGGGCCAGGGCCACTCCATTAGCTACTGGAGGCTTCCTTTTCTTCTGTGCTCAAGTAGACACTTGGCCGGCTAGTTGGTAACATGGGAACATTGGTTTGATTATTTCTGCCTTTGGGCAGTTGTATTGAGGCATGCGTGACAGGGCATCGGCTAGGAAGTCCCCCCCCCCTCCGGAGATAGCGCAGCGAGAAATTGAAGCAGTTAAAATACTGTATCCATCACACTTGCTTTGGGGATAGTTTCCAAGGGGTTTTCAATGCCTCTAAATTCTTGTGATCAGTCCAGACCTCAAAAGATATTCTCCTCCCCCCTAGGAAGTGGCTCCAAGACAGGAGTGCCCATCTCACTGCGTATGTCTCCTTCTCCCAAACAGCCCACCTCTGCTCAGTCTCTGATAGTTTCCTAGAGGTATAAGTGCATAGCTGCAGCTGGCCACTTTCTTTTTTTTCCCAACAACACAGCACCCACCTCTACATCACTAGTATCAGCTTGAATAACAAATGGTGCTCTCAGGTCAGGATGTTTTAGCACTGGTTCAGCTGCAAACAATTGCTTGAGCTTCTCAAATGTTACCTAGCATACCACTTTCCATTTTAGAGGTTGACTGGGTTTAAAGCTATCTTTCCTTTTGGTCTTTA